CTTGCTCTGGATCTGCATAGCTCCATCTTCCTGCTGTGCTGGGAGGTGTCCCACTGCTGGTCTGCTCCCTCTGAGGGACCTGCTCAGCTTCTCCTGCCCTCTCTGAGGCAGCCAGGTCATGCTCAGCAGTTACCACTCCTGTCTTGCTCTGTACCTCAGTCTTGAATCGCCCCAGTTACTCCTGGAGTCCCCTCCAGACCTTGGGCAGAGGTGAGGCTCCATGGAGTGCAGAACACAGAGGCTGTGCCATCCCTTCTCCTCCTGGAGACCCCAGATTTATGCAGTGGACATATCCCTGCATGCCTGGGGAATCTACTGCACCATGCAGGAGCCTGGGCTCGTGCCCCTGCCTTTGAGGTGAGTGGCTTTTAAGCAATTTAATTTTTTAGGGTGTATCTCAACATCTCTGTCACCAACTGTGCTGGTTGCTTCTCTCTGTTCTGTACCACCACACTGTTCTCTGTATTTAGCACTTTGCTGGTCTCAGCCACTTACAGAGCACTGGTTTTCCTGTTTCCTCCCCAATTACTGCCAGAAATATTGCATGGCATAGGGTGGCAGTGCAGATTCTGCTGCAGTGTCACCAGGTACCTGCAGGGCTGTTTGGGACGTGCCAGTAAAGGGTTATCAGCAGCTGTCATCCACTCCTGTGCACTTTAATGAGGTGTTTTATACCAGTGCTCCCTTTCACCTGCACAAAGGCTGCAGGTGAGGGGAGAGCTCTTTCCTTGGTGCTGTAATTGTGATTCCTGACTCCCTGACCTTGCACTGAAACCAGAGCCCTGCTCGAGGTCTCACCCACCACATTTACCAGCCTGGCTTGTGCCTTGCTCAGGACCATCCCTGCTGATGGCTCAGAGGCCTTTTTGGCATGATCTGATAAAATTGAAGGTGTAAATTTATTTGGAGCTGTTGTTTAAGAAGGATCTATATTTAGTGCCTGCTGTCTAATAGGTTCATCCCAGGTTACTCCTGACAAATGTGACTGTGTTGTTTTCCCTTCTGCTCAGGACAGTAATGTTTATATTCTCTATTTCTTCCTTTTCTGCATCCTGACTAATGATTCCACCATTCTTTCTGGTTTTGTCAGTATGACTTCTTATTGTCCTTAATATCTATAAAATCCCCTCTATCTTGTTTTCTAACAGAACCTGCTGTTTATCTAGCAGTCTCATTCATTTAAGGTGCTGGCCTTATTTTAGGCACTTCATAATGATTTACAAATTCCAGGATTCATTAATCCCTTTGCTCATTAGGGTTGCAAGATGATACATGTTTTTTCCATGTGATGAAGGTGGACGTTTTTGCTGCCCTATTTGTCCTGGGCAATCATTCATGTTTGTGCACTGACAGAATACCTGGCTTGGTTCCCTTCCTGGCAGCTTTGGAGCAGGGCTGGGATGCAGCATTTAGGTCAGTTCTCCTCAGGATGCTGTTTCAGGAGTGGCCTCTGTGCTTCACACCACGCTGGTGCTGGGGCCAACCCATCTGTCCTTTGGGCTTCCCCTTTCTGTGGCACCAGGGAATCTGTTTCTCTCCTGATTTTCACCCTTGGCATGAGAGAAAGAGATATATATGGGGACTATCCAGAGATGGAGAGCTATACGGTGGAAAATGCAGATTTTTAATTTATTTTCCCCCTTTATTACTGCCTATTCACACTGTCATAACTGAGCTGAAGGAGTGAAGGACAGAACTGTGTTCCTGCCAGCCCAAATAAAACCAGGGGCTGTTTGCATTTCCACTTACTTTTTAAAAATTTTCCTCACCTCCAAAATGGGCTGCAAAATCTGGACTTTTATGGCTGCTAAGCTACAGTGGAGCTCATCCTGCCCTGCTCTATGGGAATCCTCTGTGGGCATTACTCCTCTGCCTGGGCAGTCCCCTGGTGGGTACCTTGTGTGCCAAAGCTGAAGAGCCATTATAATTATAAAGATACAGAAAGCATTAGGAATATCCATTTTGGGGCTGTAGACTCTCTGTTAACCCAGGAAAACAGTAAAGCCTAGAAAAGCTGTGCCTGCCCCTGGATCCTGGCAGTGTCCAAGGCCAGGCTGGACAGGGCTTGGAGCAACCAAGGTGGTGCCTCAGGCTTGCTGGAGCTGTTCCCCATGGGAAGCATCTCACTGCTGGCCCTCAGGGACCCCTGATGGAGCCAAACCTGCAGAGGGTTTGGGCTCTACGTGCTGCTGACACCTCTCAGGAGCCCTGAGCGTGTTACAGCAACAGATTCTGTATTATCCCAGCCTTGCAAGCGTCTCCCTGGATATTAAAAACACCAGCTAAAAGCCAAGTCCAAGCTCTCCATGAATGACTCTGTGGAAATGCTGTTGGGCACGTTTCAGTGCTGCTTTGGCTTTGATTTAGGCAGGTAAACACCGTGAGTGGGTGTTTGCTTTGACTTCTCCCTCGTAGCCAAAACTTCCTTTGAGGGCAGGCGAAGCCTCCAGTGCTGTTCCCCATCACAGCAGCTGCCCAGTCTGCCTGTGGCTGGGTGTTGGCAGTGCCTTCCCTGCATGCCTGGGCCTCGTGCTGCCCAGCAGCACTGGGAACCCCCAGCTCCCCCAGGATCAGGGATGCCCCCAGCCCAGGGCTCTGCTCAGGCTGTGAATAACCCGGGCAGAGCCTGGTGCCTCCATCTGGCTGCATCCCAGCTGGGATGGTGCTGCAGGATGACATCCCTGGCTGGCATCTCCTGCTTGTCCCACACTCTTTCTGCTCTGTCCCCCTTGAATCTGCCCAAAACCACCTGCAGGATGGCTCTGACACCAGAGATAACCTTTGCCACGTGGCGGGTGATTGCTGGGGGAGCCAGGGTGGGTTCAGCCCATCCTCTCCTTGCCCTGCTGCACCAAGAGCCCCCCCTGTGCTCATCACACGTTCCCCATCTCCACCAGAGCCACAAACCCGGCTCTTTGGCAGCCCCTGCACGTAGGAAGCATCTTCTGGTAACAGATTGTTGTGTATTTAATGAACCCGAGGAAAACAAGGCAGGCGAAGGCTGCGGGGCGAGGCAAGTTTGCTCCTCAGTCTGCCAAATTCCCCCTCCTTCAGACAACCCACAGATGTTTGGCTGCTCCTGCCTTAAAGAGATTTATGGTAGGTGCAGGGCTTGGAAATTTATGGGGACATGGAAGTGACAATGTGGGCAAAGGTTTCCTGGCCCCATAGGGCTCCTTCCCTCCCTGCACTGCACCTTCCCCTGGTGCTGGTGGCAACGGGTGGACAAACAGCAAGGAAAGTGCCTTGGGGTCGCTAGGAGGAGTAATAAAGGCTCCAGGTTTGTCTTTCAGGAGCCCAGGAGCTCTTTGAAAGCCACTTCTCAGCTGAGGAATGAACCCCCAGAGCCTGCCCAAGAGCCAAAGTACTTTGGTCTAATGCAAACAGTGTGGGGTGTGCAGGTGACAGCAGGCACGTGTGTCACCCTGTGTGGGCACAGACACCATCCACTGGAATTCTTTTTATACTGCCTGCTGAGTTCAGGGAGAAAATTTCAAATTTTGGAAGGTTTTCAGCGATCATTTTGTTTGGCTTCACACGAGGGTTCTGCAGTCTTAAAGGATTTATCCATGAAGGGGAGGTGTAGAAGATAACGTGGAGTCTGGCAGGTGATCCATCCATCCAGGATTTTCCTGCTTTAGATCCAGGCATGTCCATAAGGGCTGTCAGCCTCTACCTGTTTGCCACCTCAGCCTTGCAGAAGGGAGAAATCTGACTTACAAGCAGCATCCAAATTGGCTCTGACAGCCATGGTGGTGTTGTGGGTCTTGGCAAGTGCTCCCCAATTAATCAGTGAGGTGTCCCAGATCCTGTTCCTGCTTCATCTGGGTGGGTTTTTAGTGGTCACTGATGAGCAGCAGTGTTACAGTCGGTGCTGCAGTGCTGAACTTGCTTTGCATCTCCAGGATTTGCTTCTCACAGGGACCCTGAGAGCTCTGGAGCCAGCAAGGAAGGCTGGGCTGGCTGAGAATTCCCCTAAGTGAGGGTGGGGAGGCCCCTGGATCCCTGGAAGTGTCCAAGGCCAGGTTGGACAGGGCTTGGAGCAACCTGGACACATGGAAGGTGTCCCTGCCCATGGCAGGGGTTTGGAATGAGATTTAAGGTCCCTTCCAAGCCAAACCATTCAGTGGTTCTAACCCTGAGAGCATTATTAGGTGTCTGTAAGCAGATGGAGGTTGTTTGATACAGGTACTCTGAGGGGTTCATGAGCTATTTGGAGTTGTTTATGCTTGAGAAGGAGTCAGTAAAAGCAGTGTGGTGGGGCTGACTTCAGCTCTGACATCTCAGGCTGTGTATGAGAAAAGAATATAAGGAAGGAACAAGAATTGGGTTTTGTGTCTGTTTACCAGAGCAGCATGCTCTGAGCAGTAATTAAAAGTAAACCCAGACCGTGCTGCCTTGTTCAGCATCCCTAGTTGTTGAGATTAAGCAGCCAAAGCAATTCTCAATTCAGCAATTCCTCAGCTTTTGGGAGCGTGGCCAACACTCACAGTGTCTCACAGACCACTGCAAATTCTTGTAATAAATCTCACAACTGGGGCAGCGGGGGAAACCCACAGAAAGGTGAGATGGACCAGCAGGCTGGACTGCTGCTGCTGCTGCTGCTCTGCTCCAGGGACCACCCTCCCTGGGACAATCCTTCCATGGAAATGCTACTCAAAGGTAGAAGCACTCCCCTAATGAGTGGAATAGGCAACAGTTACAGGTTTGCTCCAAGAAAATGTGTAATTTCTGTGGTCACTGGGACTGGGATCAGCTGTAGGCTCTGTCTGCACGGCCCACACTTCCAGGGATGGGGCAGCCACAGCTTCTCTGGTTAACCTGTGCTGGACCCTCACCACCCTCACAGGGAAGAATTTTTTCCTAATATCTAATCCAAGCCTACTCTCTTTCAGTTTGCAGCCATTCCCCCTGTCCTGCTGCTTCCCACAGCTCCTCTCTTGCACCTCTCTCTTGCTGTTTTGCAATGACTAATTTTGCTTTCTTCTTTTCCTTTTCAGTTGCCAGGGAGGAAAAGGCAAAGTCACTGCCAGCACCATTTCCTTCGAGCTAAAGATGTTGAGACAAAGCACCTCTGCCCCTGCCCTGTCCTTTCAGTCCTTCTGCTGCTGCTGTGCCCAGGACTCCCTCCCCTGCCACTCCTGTTCCCTAAGAGCACTAAGGGGGCAATAAACCTTTTACCCAGGTAGTTGCTGTGTAATTTTCCTTAATTCCTTATTCCTTTTCTTGTGAGTGCTTGCCTGCTGTTGAGGTTCAACCCAAGCACGTAGATCTGGGCATGAGCTTGGACTCGGGGCTCTCCCTGGAGATTTGGGGGTGTTTGGATGTGTGGTTTGGGGCTTGGAGTGCAGGGGACCCTCTGCCTTGTGTGACTTTGGTGTCAGGCTGAGGCAGTGCCCAGGCACATGGAGCAGGGGATGGGTTGAAATGAGAGAGTTTTGTTTGCTTGTTCATTCATTTATGGCTGTGGGCAGGAGCCTGGTTTGGCTGTGGTTCCTGGTAGTGAGGGTTATCTCAGGCTCCATCTGTGCTGGCTGCACGTGGCATTTTTGGTTCCTAAGGTGGCCCCATGGGATGGGTGCTGTCCTGGGACACCTCGAGCTCCTTCTGGCTATGGATTTCCTAGCATGGCTGTAGTTCAGAGAGAAAATTTCAACTTTTGGAAGGTTCTAAGTGATCATTTTGTTGGGCTTCACATGAGGGTCCTGCAGTCTTAAAGTATTTATCCATCCAGGCTCCATCCAGGGCAGGTGAGCTCTGGGCTGTGCTGGGGAGAGCCTGTGTTCCTGTGCTGTTCCTCACAGGCACTGAGCTGATTATGGTTCCTGAGGCTGTGCACACCCATGGAGCCATGCTCACCTCACACACTGCTCCCCCCTTTGCTGTGTTACGTGCAGGAAAGTCCTTCACTTGTTAATTAGTGCTCAAAGTGTGTCCTTGCCTTGTTAGCCCTGGAGGAGTCTGGCCTGGGTGCAAGCAGAGGCAGAGGAAGGCATTTCCTTGCTCCTTTTCTTTGGCTGGTAGCCTCTGAGTGCCTGGAGCATGGGCAGCACAAGATTTTGCCAGGCAGGAGCTGTGCAGGAGCGCACACTGTGTGAGAGCCATGGTGCCCTGCATGGTGTTTGTCCTTCCAGCACCCTGTGCAGCAGGAGGAACTGACTGCAGGCTCAGGGAGACATGGGCAGGGCTGCAGCCTTTCTCCTGCCAGGGCTGGGCATCCTGGGGCAGCTCTCTGCTCCTGACAGGGTCCCAGGGGACAATCCTGAAGCAGCTGCCCCCGTGGAAATTCCATCCTTTGGAGGCCACGTGTGCTGGCTCGTGATCCTGTTGGCTCAGGACTGGTCCATGGGGCATTTCCGGAGTGTAAAGATTTCTCCTCGGGCCCTGAATGGCATCTTTCACATTTATGGGAGGTTTTCACCCCATAAATAAAGTCAATATTCTCTAATGTCATAGACTCAAGCAAGGGGAACAAACTGCCCAGAGCTGGGCCTGCTCAGCCCTGTTGCAGAAGACAAATTATTGCCTGAGTGAGGAAATAAACCCAGACTGAGCTACATGCAAATGATAGACTTTGTGGATTTTTTCCAAATTCCTAGCACAATAAATCAAGCAATTGAAGATGTACCCCTTGGCATTGTCCAAAGCCCTGAGGGTGAGACAGGCTGTGCCATGAGGAGATTCAGTGTAGCCCAAATCACTTCTAAAAAGTGGAAGGATGGGGACAGAGGCATGACTTTTGTTTTGGGTGAATATTGTCGTGTTGTGCTTGCAGAAAACCCGAAACCCCACAATTTTCAATTACAGTCACCAGTTTTGGCTCTTTCCCCAAATTCTTTGTAGCCCCCTGTAGGGTTTGGGAGGGGGTGACCAGCTGTGCACAGAGAAGTCAAGGTGTGCACAGTGGAGGGAATTTCTGTGTCACTGGTGAGGGTGGGATGGTGGTGCAGCCCTAGAATCGTGCTCAGAGTTTGGCCCGGAGAGATTATGTGGGAAATGGATTTGTAGAAAATTTAAAAAATTTAACACAAGTTTTACATAGTGCATATTTGTATGTGAACTTTGAGATAAGAAATGTTGACTTAGAAATACTATAGAATAGGACAGACATTAAGAGAAAAATTGAAGTAAAAACAAATTTCAAAGGATGGCTTTGTAAATAAGATAAATAAGAACTATTAAAATTGTATTGTAGTAGAACTTATTTGTAGTAGGACTACATTTATAGTGTATTGTAATTAGAAAATATCTTCTGATTGTGATGGTGTGAATTATAACATCAGTATTGTCTCACCCTTCTCATGAGACTGAAAATGGAATAAAAGTTTTTTAAAACACCTCTCAGTTGCCCCATCTCTGGGTCAGAAAGGAGCAGAAAATCCAACAGGATTAGCTTTGGTTCTTCAGACACGTGGGTCTAACCTGCATTGAATAAACTCCAGAAATCCCAGAGGCTCCTTGCTCAGCCATTTTCTACAAGCACAGCACAGGGAATGCTGCTGGGGCAGGGCTAGGGAGTGGGGTCCTGCTTGGGTCATGGCTTCTTCACTTTGATCAGCATTAAAAATTCAGCAGGGGCAGGTGATTTATATTCTGAGAGAATTCTCACTGTTCTGCTTGTGAGATGTATCAGTATGCAAAACACAGCTCCAGCTCCTTGTTCCCTGTGCCCTTTCCACTGTAAATAGGTTTTATGTCAGTGTGTGTGGCTGGAGATGGATTATTGAGCTGGAGAGGGGTTGAATGTGTTCTGTGCTGAGGGTGGTGATCCCACAGCAAGTGGAAATCTGTGTGATGCTGGTCCTCAGTCATCTCCACAAGGAATTTCTGGGGGTCAGACCATGGAGTCGTGGAGCTGGTAGGGTTGGAAAACACCTCTGAGATCACGGAGTCCAACTGTTTCCCCAGCACGGGCAAGGCCACCACTAACCCATGTCCCCAAGTGCCACATCCCCAGGGCTTTTAAATCCCTCCAGCAGGGATGGATGGGCACTCCAGGCTTGGTAACCCTTTCTGTGGGGACGTTCTTCATCATTTGCATGGGGATGTGACACTGGTCACTGCTCAGGCTCCCTCCAGCCATGGCAGAGCATCTGGCAGACAGTTTGCTGCATCTTGAGGTCCTTTCCATGCAGTTCAGTGTAGCAGGTGAGCAGGGCATGGCTGTGCGTGGTGCTGGAGCCTGCTGTGTCACACAGTCATGTGTGAGACCCCCCTGCAGGGAAGGGCTCTTTGTCCCCTGTGAGCAGCTCCAAGGCTGTGCTGGTGCCTCACAAGGAACATGTTTGCTCCCCAGAATTTATCTTTCAAGCCTGTGGATGAGACTTGGATCATTTCACTTATTTTTTTTCCAAGCCAAACACTCCATAGGCGTGATACTGTCTAGAAAGCAGCTCTGAGAGAAACCTCTTCCCACCTGTGCCACTGCACAGATCACATGAGGCTTCTGCTTGGTCTGTGTTTTGAACCATGTGGAAAGCAGGGTTTACTAAAATTTGGGGAGTTCTGTGCCCTAGAGTTTCTTGGGGGCTTTTCATAGAGCTCAGGAGATTGTGTCAACCCCAGTGGCCGTGGCTCTAAACTTAACCTTGACATCATGATGAAGATAGTTCCTTTATCTGATTGCAAATGAGGAAATACATTTCTTAAAGTAATTAATGGTCCCTGCAGAGCATCTTTTTATTACCATGTGTGTGTGTGTGTGAAAGCATGCAGGCTATAAATACACAGTGGTTTCCTCCTCAGCATCAATAGGGTCCATCCTGGCCCTGCAGTTTGTGTCCCATGGCACTTGTTTGCATGCAGAGGATGTGACAGGGCAGGGCCGTGCGTCAGGAGCCCTGGGAGGCAGGATGGGGAGCCAGAGATCACATTTCACTGGAAAGTTTCCCTTTTTTACTGCAGTTTCTCCATGGGGATGGTTCCAAAACCCAGCCAAGCAGTGGCTGAAGTTGCTGATACCTGCAAGTGCCTCGGCCCCAGTGCTGGGGGTGGTGGTGGCTGCCAGCTTGGCAGCACTTTGCTGTGTTGCCTGTCATTAGGGCTGTGTTAATTGCAGGGCTTGCAGAGGAGCAGGGAGGTGTGATGATGGTGTGTGCTGCATCCTGGCCAGGGCAGGGAGCCTCTGTCTGTACTTGCTGCTGCTCCTGCCTGGGTGTGTACCCGAGTCTGCTGCTGCAGCATTATCCATCACCTCAGGGAAGGGCAATTATTCCTGGAGAAATCATACCTGGTGAAGGTGCTTGGCTGCTTTCAGGCTGCTCTGAACCCTTGTTTGATCTTTGTGCCAATGGTGCCCCAGTGTCTCCCAGCACAGAGTTTGTCACTGCAGCCAGCACTGTCCTGGGTCAGGGACAGCTGAGATTGGGATAGATGGAAATCACAGAGTCACACAAGGGTGTGGTTCAGAAAGCACCTTAAACACCATCCCATTCCACCCCCTGCCAGGGACACCTTCCACTGTCCCAGAGTGCTCCAGCCTGGCCTTGGGCACTGCCAGGGATCCAGGGGCAGCCGCAGCTGCTCTGGGCACCTGTGCCAGGGCCTGAATTCCTTCCCAGTATCCCATCCAACCCTGCTCACAAATTTTGTGTCATTTTGACACTCTGAAATGTTTACTTTTCTATCTGACAGTTTTCACTTGGTCACTGGGCTGCCCAGAGGTTTATGATGAAGTTACCAGTAAGCTGTAAATTATGATTCCATTGATATCCCACAGAAAGCTGGAGACTGGACCAGGCACCCTTGGGAACAGTAAATCTTCAGAAAATGTATTGATTCCCAATCTTGGCTTTGCACTCTGGATGAACTTTGTCCTCATAAAATAATAGAAGGTGATTTTTCTTTACCAGCCAGCTGGCCTTTAAATGAGCTACTCTTAACACCACTGCCAGCTCTAATCCAAGTAAACATGGCCAGGATGATTCAGGAGCTGGGAAGAGAAGCCATATCAGTTCATGGCTTAATAAGGGTTAATACCTAGTGGAACATTTTCATCTATCATCCTTAAACATCACAATTGGCTTTGACTGGATGGTACAAGATCAGTATTTTGTGCTCTTTGGATTGTGCACATGGTGAGTTTGGTTGTTTGCATTAACAAGCAAAGCAGCAAAACAGAGAAACAGGATTAGGGGAGTGATTTGGGGAAAACGCTGATTTCGGTAATCAGATTTCAGTTGCAATCTGTCTGCTTGACAAGGGAATAAATCTGCTGGGGAGGATGCCAGGGGGCAAGGCAGGGCTCATGGTCAGGGCTGTATGAGCTGGCTTGCAGTTTTCATTTCAAAAGCCTCCTTGTTGTCCAGCCTTAACTTTTGTTAGGGTTAGGGTTAGGGTTAGGTTCTAAAACTACCTAAGAAATGGATGGAGATCAAGAGGCATGGTGTGGCCCTTAGGGTTTCAGGGCAAGGAGCTGTCCCTCCTTCCTTGCAGACTCTTTGCCTCATGTTTCTCCCCACAGGGCTCTTCCTAGATGGGGAATCATGGAGGGACTGGGTGGGATAGGTGCATCCAGGGGATTTCACAGCCATAATGATGCTGGAGAGGCTTTTTCTGCTGGACATCTGCTCCCAGCTGGTCTGCGGGCAAAGGGTTTCTGTGAGATCAACCCTGGAGCTCTAATGAGCTCTTCTTTCAATCTTTTGTATCTTCAGTATGGGGGATGCCAGTCCCCTCTTCAAATGGAGAATTCAGAGGGAACTTTATTGATTTGCCTGCAATACTTGTGTCCCTGTGTAGAACCTTGTGTGCTTCCAACAGCTCCTGTGAGTGCCCCATGCTGTGCTGGTGGGGAGCAAAGGGACATCCACAACGTTTAAGATCCTAAAATAAACACATCCCTCAAGCAGCCACCATCAGGCTGGTTTTGGGCAGTGCTTGCCCCTTGCCCAGTGCATCCACCCCCCTAAAGCTGTTCCTCTCTCTCTCTCTGTTTGTGCAGGAGCTTTGCCCACCCCGAGGCTGTCCCTGCACATCCCTGAGGAGCTGGCAGGGCCCAGCCTCTCCTGGGGATCATGGATTGACAGAGGAGCTTTGCCAGCCCCCAGCTGCCAGCACCCTTTGCCTGGACCCTGATGGAGGCAGGACTGCATTACCATGGTGATGATCTTAACCAAAACTCGGGAAAACAAAGGTGCTGATTCTGTAACATGCAGGACTGAGCTGGTAAGCTTTGTGAAATCTCTGCTCAGAAGTCTTTCACTGCCAAGAACTTTGCTGTAGCTTTGTAATAAGGGTTTTCTTTCCTGCAGGGATGGATCTTTAGGTGGTTTGTAGTGCTGATTTCTACAAAGCTGCATTAATATCCAAGGAGCAGGTGATTAGTAAGTGATTGGAGTGCTGTGGCTTTTGCATATGTGGATTTCAGTAAGCACCAAAGGGGATAAACAGCACAAAAAAATCAAATCAATGCTGTGAACAACACAGGTGAGAAGTTGCTTCACCGACAGAGAACAGATGCTGATCATTAATAGGAGGATGAGCAAGTGGGAAGCAGGATTAAGTGGGAGATGGTGAAGGGCAGTGCTGTGGTAGCTGATTTCTCTGGGCGCCTGGAGAGGTGCAAATCCACCATGCTGAACGAGCTGGCAACAACAACAAAAAAAAAAAAACAAATGAGGGGTGGCAAACAAACTGAAGGATGCTGTGAGGGCTGAGTGTACCTGTGGTAGGGGAAAATAAGGGGCACCATGGCTGGAGGCAGGGTCAGAGCAAATGAGGAGGTGCAGGATGATGGAGAGCCATCAGAACAAGGCTGGCTGGGGCCATTTGCCCCTCTGTTCTCCTGGAGAGATGGGCATGGTCTGAGGAGAAACTGGACCAAAGGCTCTGAGAGTGTCAGATAAGGGTGTGCAGGAACACAGCAGGAAGCATCTGGCAGGATGAGCCATAAATGGGCATTCTGAACATAAAAGAAATAGAAAAGCCTGAGTTTGCTGGGGATGGCAGAGTGTCCAGCTGGGCTCCCCAGGCAGAGAGCACACTGTGCTGGGGTGAAGGCAGGCTGCCCTGGCAGGGAAAGGCAGAGGAGAAGGTGAGCAAGCCAGCAGCAGTGGAAAATACTGCCTTAAAAGGGTGAGATTTGGGAAGGGTATTGATACATTGAGAAACACCCTTGCTGTAGTGTTAGCTCCTGCTGCTCAGGGTGGGAAGGGGGAAGCCTCAGCTTCCAATGCCAGCTGTGCCCTGGGCAGTGTGTGGGGCAGGTGAAGGGCAGCTGGCTGCAGAGAGGCAGGTGGGAGCAATTTCTTCTCCTGCTCAGAGAAGGGCTGGGTGCTCGGGGTGTCTGGTGGTAGAGATGCAGAGCTGTAACACAAAACTTTGCCCTCCTGGGTTTGCCCAGTGCTTCCCACAGCTCTGGGGCTGGGTCAGGAGTGCAGGGACAGTCCTGGGTCCACAAGGGGAATTGCTGGGTTGCCTGGATTGTTAAATTGGGCAGACAAGCACAAGAAGGCTGATCCACTGAAGAAAGCAAGAATGTTTCTGTTGTCTTCATGGGGAAGGCCAAAAAGCGAAACCCAAAGGAAATAAATGTCTGAGCACTGGGGCAGCGCCTCCTGCCAACAGCCAGTGGGCTCCTTTGGTTCAGCTCCCAGTTTGGTATGAAAATTCTTACAAAATGGTAATTATAGTCGATATGGGACATATGTCAGGCTCCTCTCCCTCCTGCCTTGCAGACAGGGCCTGCTCTCTGGGGCTGGCACACAGATGTGCACTGGCACAGCCCCTGCCTTCTCTGGGGCTTGTCCCACTTCCATCTCTGCTCCACTTTGGCTGCTCCTTGGAGACAGCTGCCTGTCCTCTCTGCCTCCTGATTAATTCTGCTGATGGATCATAAGGTGGGGCTTGACAGATGGAGATATCCTCACTTCACCCAGAAAAGTGGCACATGCCCCAGAGGTGACTGACCCTTATTTACCTTCTCCACATCCACACCCTGTAGCTGTTCTGTGCCTCCCTATCCCTCTACACTCATTATTTCCAGCATTCTGTATAGGAGGTGGGAGCCTTTATTGGATTGCTCAGGTGCCATCATTTGGTACATTATTATTATTATTATTATTATTATTATTATTATTATTATTATTATTATTATATAATCTCCAGTCCTCATGATGCACTGGAGATTCTGGCACAGAGAAACTGTGGCTGCTCCATCCCTGAAAGTGTCCAAAGCCAGGCTGGATGGGGCTTGGAGCAACCTGGACACATGGAAGGTGACCCTTCCCAGGTGGAACTGGATGTCTTTAAGGTCCTTTCCAACCCAAACCATTCTGAGATTCTGTAGTTATGTGAGCAGGCAACGTGTGAAACGTGGATCAGGAGGGAAGGTGTGAGTGCAGTGGCCCAATGCCAGATAAAACACAATTATGGCAGTGCAGATGGACGTGGGGGCTGTGCTGGTGCTTCCCTCAGATGATGTAAAGCCCCAGTCAGACGGGATGGTGTTGCCAGGATAGACACTTCAGAAGCCAGAATATGGATATTTTTAGGGATAATAAAGGAACAATTAGTATGAAAGTGTGTTTTTGCAGGCATAGCTGAAATGGCATGCAGCTGTGGGTAACATATTGATTTATTACATGTGAACCCATCCATGCTCATTTTTAGAAGCCTGATGGTGTCTCTTACGCTGTCAAGAGGAAAATTCTTGAGGAAAAAAAAAAAACCAGTGTGAAAAGCAACCAGGATTATTTTGTACCCATGCAGTGGCATTTCCCTCTGTTTTTAGTGCAAATCAGCACAATCTGAGTGCAGACTCCCCAGAAGTGCTGAGGTGAGGATACCTTGCCTTAGAAACACATTAAATGCTTGAAAAAGCTAAATAGCTGCTTTGTACCGAGGTGGGGAGGCCTTAATGGGCTTGGATGAGGTTCAAGATACCACTTTTGCTCCTTTCTTGCCCAATCCAGGATTACCATTGAATTGCAGCTCCCATTTTAGTTTCTCCAGAGTTTTGGGACCTCACTGCAGCTCTTCCCTGAGGTAAGGGCTGGCTGCAGGACCCTTGGTCTGCAAGCCTTGTCAAGGACTCTGCCCAGAGTTTAATTAAAGTTGATTTTCTTGAGGAAAGGTGGCTGTGTCTGGTCCCTGCTGGATCAGGGCCATGGGAGGCTCTGCCCAGGCTGGAGGGTGGTGTCTGATGCCCAGGCTGGGTCTGTGAGAAGTGAAATAGTTTTTTCTGGTTGTTTGCAGCACACTCCAAAGATGAGTCAAGGACCTACCCTCTTCTCCTGTGGCGTGATGGGTGAGTACAGAAACTTCTCTCTGTGTTTCCTCTGCTCCCACTTCCTCACAGTGCTGGGTGGGAGGCTGTCCTGACTTTTGGATGTCTCCAAAACCACTCCCCTGCAGCCCACCCCACCACACCTGTGCCCCTCTCTGCCCCAGAGGTACTTTTTGTGCCCTGTTGCCATTGCTGAGTGAATTGCTTATCTCCTTTCCCCTCCCCTTTGCTACATCTGCTTATTTTTAGAGCTACTCTTACAGCTGAGATGATAAACATTTGGGGTCTGAGGTTGTGTTTGAGTACCCAGCCCAAGACTGTTTGCATGATGCAAGCAATGAATAACAGCATTCTCACTGAGGTGTTCTACCACCTGCCACAAAGTGGTTGCACAGGCCTCAAACAATAAGGAAAATGTCTCATTTTTGCTGTTGACAGGAGCCATGATATAATATGTTTGATGCCATTTATGTCAGAGCTTGCTACCAGATTTTATGCTGAACAGCCACCAAAATGGATGGAGGATTGGTGCCTTGGCTGATGATGCTGAAACACTGATAGTGCCACAGGATGTGCTGCTGTGCTCTTCTCTTTGGCCTTCCTAGCAGGGAGCCAATCACTGGGCCAGGCCTCAAAACCCAATTAAAATTGTAGGTCAAGTTTGAGCCAAGCTCCTTGCTGTGAGAGCCAACCCTCCACAGACAAAGAGGCTGCCCCTGTTGCTCATGGGCACAGCTCTCATTAGTGTTAATGAGAGCACATGCACTGACAGGAGATGTCCCCAAGCTCTCTGATAGCTCCAGCCATTGGCAGTCTGGGGAGATGGACAGCATTTGTGGGGTTTTTCAGATGAAAATCAAAGTCAAGAAGGGATAGAGACAGCCCCTTCCCTCTCCCCTGCCTTTCAAACATGAGTGAGGAACAAAGAACCCAAATCAGATGGTTTTGTCTTGCACTGTGGCACTGGCAGGCTCTTCAGCAGATACAGAGTCTCTGCCTAATTGAGGAGCAGCCTGTCTTTAGGAGCTTTTACAGAGCCTTCTGCCAAATTATCCTCCTTCTGAGGGAACTGAATGTCACCTCCTTGACCTCAGCTTGCCCTGCTGTGGTCCCTGTCATGCCCAGTCAAGAGGAGCCCATCCTTCCCTCCTGTGAGGGCATTGCTTAGCTTGAGTTTCATTTTAGTTATTTTCTCCGAGAGTTCTTGATGTCCCCAAATGTAGGCCACAATCACAGACTAACCCAGGATGAAAACTTGCTTGGCAATTTAAATAAGTTACTGTCAAAATGCAAAACTTGGGGAATATTTTAGTTCAAAGGGCCAAGTCCCTGTTGGTTGAAAGCACTGGGATAAATAAACACAGTGAAGTTTGGACTGGTAGCTCAGACAACATGAGGCAAAGACTCACAGTCCTACCTATGTGGGAGGTTTGGATGGACGTTGGCTGATTTTTTTTTTTGGTTTTAGATAAAAGAGAATCTTAGAAAATAACCTGTTTGATACCTTTGGGATGAGGGCAGCTTTGGGCAGGAGGGCAGTTTATTTCTGGACCCTCTGGCCAAGGGGCAGGAGGGCAGAGGGAAGCTCAGCCTCTGCCAGGGAGAGCATCATCCAAACCCTGGAGCTTTTCTTGTAAGGTACTAAACACTGCAAGAATCTGAAAATGGATTATAGATTGTAACCAAACTCACTATATTGAGTAAACATTCTTAAAGACTTGATATATTGGATGATGCATGGTTAGGTCCAATTCTCAGGGTGACTTAAATAATCTTTTGGCTTTTAGATTTGTGAGAAATATTTTTGCCAGTGAAATGATAATATTACTAAAAAGATTGGGTTTTATCTCTACATAGC